CAAGGCGTTGATTCGCTTCCTGTGCTCTGATTGGTTGCGCGTTTTTTTCGCTTCGCAAAAACTCCAATAGGAATGTAAATGCGCATGCGCATGAACCGACGCTTTCGATTCACGCGAATAAATTCGCCTGGTGGAAAACTGTCTTTACTGTACTACTTATTTTTTCAGGGGGCAGGTGGAGCACTTGCAGTTCAAAATGCCCTTTCACAGCCAGCTGACAAGTATGTAAATGATGTAAGTTTACAATTATATTATCATTAAGACTAATAGACACAATCTGCGTAATTTGTTTACAGTCGGTCACATGACATGTAGTGGGTATTTACTACTGTATGAAGAATTTACAGTGTGATTAATGTTAAAGTATAGGAAAGGGTAATGTTATGGTTTTTAAAACATTCGCGCACCATTAACATGAGAAATAACTGGCAAGGAAAGACACTACAATTGTTCAAAATAGTGTTTACAGTATTTATTATTCTAGCATTCAGTGTACTTCGTATGCTTTTGAATATATGTGATCCTTCGTAAACTTAAGCTAGTCTAGAAATTGTAGCTTGTCAAAATTGCAGTTCGCAGATCGAAGACCCTCATGCATATATAAACAGGCCGTAGACATGCAGGGGCCTAGGCCTAGCATTTCTAAAAAAAATCTCAATGTTTGGGGGCCAGTGTCTTTTGGAGCATTAGTAAACCATTATTGCAAAACTCTCAATTTCAATTTCCAATCAATTTAATATAGTTACTGGAATTCCAACCAACATTATTCAACATCAGATATGTACTTTAAAGGACAAACACTTTAAATTAGGGTTAGGGTTAGGGTCGCACTGCATGTTTACAAATAATACCCACTATACATCACATGACCACCCTAGCAAAGTATGTCTATTAAGACACTACAGTATATGACGATAATATACTGTATTTGAGAAAATGTAAGACAATATATTATTAAGATACACATTTTTGACAGAAGATTATTGTTACATTTAATTGATGTTATTTTATTTATAATGCAAATATGTCAAAAGTAGGTTAATGGATTATTTGATGATTTGATTGAATAATTTTTAATCGATTAATTGTTTTTTTCCCCTCCCCCAATTTTATACGTTAAGTATATTATAGAGACAGTAAGTACTGTATGATATGTACTATAAATAGCACATTGTTGTTATTAATATTATTATTTATTGATTGTTATATTTATAAGAATTTTTTTTAATGTTCATTAATTTCTTGCAGTCAAGCCTTGAAATGCAGTGGGCGATGAAGGCATTCAAGCATGCAGAGGTTTATTATAATGTAAGTGAATTGAAAAAAAAATGTCTTGCACTTTCAAAATTTGCCAATGGAATGTTCCGATAATTCCTGACCTTATTGAGTAACACTTTCTGATTGGTCAGTTGTTAAGTTTGACTACAACTTAACTTTCTGTCAACATTTTTCCTCAAATCAATCTAAATATAATAAATCATATTTTTATTATGAATCCCAAGATATAATATTTTGAAACAGGACAGCTGAAATGATTCAACTGTTTTAAGGCTGTGTTGACAAGGTTTTTTAAAAGGTTTTATGTTCATTTAATCAAAGAAGGAAGTATATTCACTCAATGCTCTTAGCTAAAAAAAAAAAAAAACTACATTAATAAATAATGTTGTAGATTGTAGATAGTGTATCTAGTACAGAATGAAAAAACTTCAAATTCCAGAAAATACTGCTATCACAGTCTCCTTTATATATTATATATCACCTTGAGCTAGAGTTTCAAAGGCTTATTTAATCTATTTTAGAATCTATTATTATATAGAAAATACATATAATTTTTTTTTCTCCCCTGCGAACTGTAGGAACCCTGGCACCGCCACTGTTACAAACTCAAAATAAAATTGTGTCATAGTCCTAACTATGGTAGGGCTGAGGTGGTCTGAACACTTTGTCTGTCAAATTTCCTCCCCAGGCCCCCTCTGTTTCAATTTACTGGGTTCACTACTAAGCAACTTTATTTTCTTTCCCTCAGTTGATATCTTCAGTTGATTCAAGGAGCTTAAAACTTACAAAACACGATGATGAGATTTTGGAACATTTCAAGAAAGATTTTCCTGACTTCAACATTCAGAAATTTGATGAGGATGATTTGAAAACAGAAAGTGCTAAATTTGTGAGTTGATCTTTTGTAAACACTAAATCCCCTGGACCCCCTATGAGTTCAGTGGCAAATCTTGGAGTCTTAAATTGGGGGAGGGG